AACCGAACCGATCCACGGACAGCCCTTTGCAAAGTCGAGATAAGAGTTGAACTCTTTGTCCTTTAGTCGAATTTGTCCCGTAATAGTGCCTACGGATGATGGCAATGAACTCTTAAAATACGACTAACTTCTTGTGTTTGTAACACTCCAAAACACAAGAACAACGAATCAAAAGATAGGTGTATGTACTCCCTTTGAATGAAATGGAAAAATAGTTTTTATGCAGAGTTTCGGCCAAGAAAATATGAGAATTTCATGTTGTGCTATGATTTCATATCATTAGGACGAAGTAATGGATGTCTCAAAGGTCTTATTTATAGAAGAGTAGATGTTGTAAGTGAAGAGACACTCCTCAAAATTCAGCAACATTTGCCAAGGGTAGCGGCTTTTGTTGTCGCTCATCTGTTGCATGTGCGTCACTCTAGTGATAGAAAAAGAGAGCCTATCGCTCGAGCGACAGTCTCTCCGCTCGAGCGCTAGGCGAGTGGTGGAGTTAGACAGATTCCTGGCCAATTTTTCCCTATTTTTCTTTCAACTTTGAACTGCAATTTTTCTTTCATTCGAAATTGATTTTGAGATTTCAATATACCACGACGAGTAGAATAAGTTAGTGTATTTATTTTCATAATTGTCCGAATATTTGATCAAAGTTGACACGAAATCACTTTTTCATGATTTAAATACTTAAATAATTCCAACAATTTAACTCCCTATCTATCCATTTGCATCATTTCATGACCATGATGATCATATTCTATTCGTTTTTACTTAAATTAACGTATAGCGTATCATTTAATATGAAGTACGTAATTTTATGGAAAAATGGTTGAGTACATTATGTGCTTGTCGAAAAAACCTAAACATGATAGGAAACGACTGAAAGACGGAAGTCCAGCAATGACATAAATATCTATACTTGGACTTGGTGGATTATTGTGCTTGTCGAAAAAACCTAACCATGACAGAAACGACTCAAAGATAGAAGTCCACGCATGACATAAATGATCATATACGGACTTGGGGGATTATTGTTGCGCCCAAATTGGAATAAGCCCAATGGCCCAAAAGTAAAGAAATTACCGTGGCCTATTTGCAGAGGTGCATCGGCCGAAGCCTATAAATTTCAAGGCGCCATTGCCCGAAACCCAATGCATCTCCGATGCCCAACATTACCAAAGTACCTCAATGTCGAGGCTCAAGAGAAAGCAGAAGCACTAAACAATTTGATAAAGTTCCGACATTGAATCACTACCTGTTCAACTGAAGCTCTGAAGCCTATACCTCAAATTGAGGCTCAATAAAGTAGAATTCGAAGCTCAACTATGACAAATGATGACCTACAATTGAAGATCTTAAAGTGCATAAGATCTTCTTGGAATGATTGATTGGACATCTGCAATGAGCAGAAAAGGTTAATCATGTCAACACAGGGCATGGGTTGGCCGCCTTCTTCAGAAGCATTTAATGCGCA